CAAAAAGCCATTTATATACAAGATGGCAGACATTCTTTCTCCACAGAAAACAGAATTGGCATCATTTTTCTTTTATTACTTGGACACAAAAAGTAAATTTAATCATACATTTCTTCGTTACTTCTTTCACAAACTATTAAACAGTATTTCATTTTATTTTTATTTTAATCTGTTGGTAATCTTGTTTGTGACACTTTTTCAGAAGTCAATGTGTCGAATGCGTCAAACATTGATGTCACAATTTCCAGATGATTGCCATACTTAAAGTCTGATATAATTTTCTAATTGCTGATAAATTTTGTTGAAATTAAAATTGAAACCTTTTTATTTACCTTCAGATAATACTTTCTTAAGAAAAGGCCAAGTTTTCATTGTGTTTAAATTCTTTCCTGTTTAAGATTTTGTGTGTTATGTGAGGTAAATGTTAAAAAAAAATGAAACTAAAAAGTAAACAAACAAGCAACACAATTGCTTTCCATGTGTTGATAAAAAAAATTCATGTTTAATCCTGCTTCAGAGGGAACTGCCTTATATTAACTGCAAAATTTTTAAACTTAATTTTCTGGGTTAATTATATTTTTACCTTTTGGTTAAGTGATTTTTTCAGCTGTGAGAAATTTAAGAAAGTTATCAAATAGGTTTTAAAAAGGAAAACAAAAAGTCCTTCACACCATATATAGCATCATCTAAAATAACTTTTTATAAATAACAATCAAAGAAAAAAATTGAACAATGTGATTTCATCTTGAAATACTTACCATTTCGACGTCATTGTATTAAACAAATGTTTTGAAACAAGAGATGTCTTTTACCACAATGCTGTTTTTTAATGTCTAGCCTTGCATTGTATACATTATTTCGTTACAATTGGGGGAAAAAATTCCCTGTCTGCAGCTCCAAGAATGTTTCTGATTTTTACCTGAAGGACAAGGCACTGGAATTTTCTGCCAATGAAACATTCACTTCATCGTTAGGCCTGGGTGAGATAGTTGTATATCACTCACTCTAGAGTCAGTGTTTAAAAGATACAGAATTGTGATATTAAAGGCAGGCAGGCCCTCCCCAATTGCAAGATTGGTGAAACACAATCATCAGATCCTCATTTTTCTTCCCATATGGCCTACCTCATTGCTAAGAGGGTTGTGCATTTTGTACCAGAGTTTGTTTGGGGTTTAAGCCCAGATAAAAAACAGAACTTATTTTAAATGCTGATTTCCAAAGAACTTAGGCCCTCCTCATTTGGCAGATTTGTGCAACACAATCATCCTCCATGCTATCTCTACTTGTGCCAGATAAAACCAATATTAGTAAATACCCAGTACTAATTCCTCTATTCTTTTCTTATTAGTATTTAGTAAGCATTTAAGTACCTATCACTGCAATTGATTCTTTGAATTGTGTTATTGAATTCAAAATAATGTATAGCCGATTTCAGTGTTTGACTGATTCTGTTTAATTAATGATGGAACTCAATGCCTGAATATTAAAGAAATGATTTCTGAATCAAGAATAAAATTTAGCAATTAAGAAAAGATTATTTGCATATAAATTCAGCTAAAAATAAAAATGGAAACTTTTTAGGGGTTGCCCTGTTACTTGGAAGATTATTTTTTTATTTTATATATATATATATATATATATATATATATATATTTTTTTTTTTTTTTTTTTAAACTGAAAACTCATTTCATGACAAACAAATTTACTTGACCCTAAATTATAAGTTTGTTTTTTTTCTTTTTTTTTTCTTTTTTTTTTCTTTTTGGTTTAAGTGACAAGTTTTCTTCCAAAATTAATTGAAACTAGTCACAAAAAAAAATTTTTAATTTATTCTTGCTTTTATTTTTTCTAATTTCATCGACTCTTTAGAATTTTAATGGTACACTAACTTTTAACATCAAAATCATTTTTCTTTTTTTTTTTTTTTTTTTTTTTATTTTTTTAAATACCTTTCTCTGCAAAGAGAAATTACCCATAAACATCTACAAAATATTTTTATTTTGTCATCTTCAACTCCTACAAAATACTTTCAGGTGTTTGTAAAATTAGGATTTCTCCGTTTTGCTTTCATCTGTTAATGTTTACATTCGTTTTGTATGTTTATATAAATGTTTATTTTTGTCTTTATAAAATGCCAGTGTTTTGATAAACTTATTCAAATTCCTTGACAGCGTTTTCATCTCACATTTTTTACACAATGATAGATTACTTAGAATAAGTTTAAATGCTGTTAATATTTTCTTTTTTTTTTTTTTTTAACCTTCCTAAAATCATGCGGATGAATACCCACAACAATGCAAATAGACATGTGATGTGAAGTTAAATATAGCCTGAAATCTTCAGTCATTATTATTATTATTTCATAAGTTATTTGGGCTAAAATCCTCATTCTTCTTGTTTTTATCACAATTATTTACCTGATGCATTCTTCAGCCTTTTACAAGTGCATGATTTCTGATATAACCTTTGCTTTTCTTAGTCCAAGTGACAAAGATTCCTCTAAGAAAAAAGAATTCAATTTTCTAATTTAAAATAATTTTGTATTCTAAAATAAATGTTTATTCTATTAAAAAGGATTAAATATTTCCAGAAAAAAAAAAAAAAATTCAAAGGTTTACCAGGGGTGTACCTATCGAAGGGGAAAAAAGATGCCAATTGGTACCAAATAAAAAAAAAAATAAACATAAATATACAAACAATTCATCGAAGAGTGCATTTATAAATGTTTACATTTTTCTTTGTTTTTTTTTATTAATTCATACAGTTGAATTTTGAATTCTAATTTATACATTTAATACACATTGGTTTGAATGTTACAACCTTCAAAAAATAAAATTTTTATTTTGAAATTATTAAAGAACATAATATACAAGTAAGAAAAGATGGCCATTCATTGGTAAATATACTTGATATGCTTGAAAGTTTACATTTTGTTTTTGAGATAAGTCAGATTTCTTTTGTTGGGTTCTTCATTGAGACTGAATGAATCATTAAGCTTAGACTCTTACCATTTTAAGTTAAAAAAAAGAAAGATTTTAGTGAAATATCTTCACCAAGGGGTTTAGATCACTTGCTGATGCTTATAAGGGACTTTGATGGGGTTAGGGTCAGGATAGGGATTTCAGTTATTGGGTGCCTTATTTTCGGATCATTTCCATAGATTAAGCTCAACTTAATCAATATCTGTTAGTAGTTCTAAAAATGACCAACTAGTATGGAAATATGTTGGGGAGAGGGGGGTCATTGTCCGGAAAATATCCAGCTATTTTGAATATCTGGTTTGTGTGACTTATATATATATATATATAAGAAATATACATAATATCTTACATTAATTGTTGTGCTGGAATTATTATATTTATTTTTATTTTAAATAAATATTTTTAAATAAAATTTTAAATAAATATAACAATTCCAGCATTTGAAAAAACTTCATGAAAAGTGGAGTTTCTGCAACATTGTTTATGTATATTTTTAATGAACTTTGAAATAAATCATCCAATGTTTGTTGTGTGTATTTTGAATTTAATTTTTATAAATATATTCTATATATATATTATATATATATATATCCATGATTCTAAAATATATCTGACTATTTAAATATTTGCTATTTTTTCAAATAGTTTTGACTATTTAAATGTATTTGTTTATTTTCTAGAGTTCGACTAAGAACCTGATGAGCGGGTTTAGTGCAAACTCTTTATTTATATATATATATATATATATATATATATATATATATATATATTCCTGTCATTTCGAGGTGTCGTAAAATGCACTGGTTTGCAGGGATAATCAATTACATTCATTAGAGAGAAAATTAACAAGGTAAAGATCAAAATATTCCATATTTGCCAAACAGCCTCTCTGTTCGATTAAAAATGTATCAGCACTGCTGCTATGGCAAAAGACTAAAGTACGAAGAGTGAAGTCGTAGAAAGGCACAGATTACTATTAAAACTTTCCCATATGTACAGTAACGTTCTTAACTAAAAGATTCTTTATAGCTGTGCTTGTAAGGAAAGTGTTCTCAAGGGTTTGTTCGTGTTTTGTTTTACCGACGTTCTATCAGTAATCATTCTTTTGCAGAATTTTCTCATCAACCACAAATTTCCCAATTTAAAAAACAATCATATTCTGCACCTTGGAACATTTAACTTTTGAAAAAGTCCCATTTGAAAAAATTTTCTGATTTCTAAAATACATAGATCAAATATAAGTTTTTTCTTTAATTTCTTCTTTCATCAATTGAAACGTCGCTGGATAAAGTGTGTGATTACAGATATGGACTACCTCAAAGGAGCTTAAAGCTGAATTGATACGTGTTTCACCATCTTTTGTAGCAGCAGCCCCGATATTTTTTTATCAGGCCTTTCTCCTCATAAGGTGACTAGAGTGTATTTCAGTGAAACCTTGTGTATATAATAACGCCTATACTGTACAAGATGAGAGATCTAGTTCAAATGCTCTAAAAAAAAAAATTCTCCTTTAATTAACCATTTCATTGCAATGGTCAAGTTAACAGTTTACATCAATACATTTTCATTAATTTTGGGGAATGATTGAGTTTATTATCCATTTAAAAAATACTCCATCTATTTAAAAAAATTTGGATTTAATGAATGAAACAAGTTAAATGATTAAAAAATAAAAAAAATATTGTTTATTTTTTATTTAACTATTTTTGCATATATTTTTTTTATTTAACTTTTATATAAAAAAAATGCCTAGGTTCATTAGTCCGATCCGCAATTTGGAATAATATAAACAAATTACAAAATCAAAACGCTTCACAGTGGAATTTGGATCAAGAAATAAATATTTACAGATGGCCAGTTGCATGTTGCATGCTCCAGCAAAGAAATTGAGCATTTACTCTTTTTCATAAAAAAAAACCAAAAAATTTTTTATAAAAAAATATATTTACCATGAAGTCCTATAAAATTAATCAAATTAAAAATAAATTATTTTAAAACCGTGAAGTGGTGTTTTGTCAA